TCTACTCTACTCTACTCTACTCTACTCTACTCTACTCTACTCTACTCTACTCTACTCTACTCTACTCTGCGATGGGGAGGATGGAGGCGAACTGACTACGAGTAATACGCCAATGACGAGGACAACAAGGACGGCGTACACGACGGGACGCATGAGAAAAACGCGAGCTACTTGCTCGGAGAGGATGTCGGAAACGACGCAAGCGACGGGAACATCGAGACTTGGCATGCGGGGACGAACGGGCAACGAAGTCCTTCCAAAAGTGTCTACTGCGGCGAGGTTTAAGGTGGGAAATTCAACAGAAATGCCGCAACACGTCTGCATTCCGCGTCTTTTTACCGCCTCTCCTGACGACGAGTGGGCAAAGTTGACGTCGCCTCCGAGCTCTGCCTCGCTCGGAGGTCAGGTTCCGTCGAGGCCAGGCGCGGTTCGAGCCCGAGACCCATGAATCAGCCTACGCACATACGTAGGTGTGTGCATGTGTGTGTGTATGTGTCTGTATCTTCCTCTTCTCGACGTGTCGTCTTCGGCCGAGGGTTGACCGCACAGCTCAATTCGTCTCTCAGCCAGCGCATCTCCCCACCGTTTGTGCCCACTTGTCGACAGACCAAAAGACGCACACATAGACACACATACACACACACACACACACATGAGCACAGGCCGTCAAGGAGGCATGGAGGCATGGAGGCTGGGCGGCCGCATGAGGCGTTTCAAGTACGCGCCTCGAGAGGTAGCCTCGTGTCGGGCTGTTCATTGCTGGTCAAATAGCACACTCACAAACACACACAGTCCAGCTAGTGTGAGGCTGTCTGTTGGTCCACAGGCCTAGCTTAGCCCCTCAAGGAGGAGGGGGGGCGACAGTTGCAATCCGCCCTTTGAGTCATGTTGCATGCCCATGTCACGTCGCTAAGGGGCAGCTCTTCAGGCACCTTTTGACTCCGGTCAAATTGGCCGCTGCTCCACCACCAATTGTTTGAATGCGTGTGTCTGTCTGTGTGTGTTTGTGTGCATGTAGATGTGCGTGTTCCTCAACCCATAGGCCAAGTGGTTGGGTAGGGCCTGTCTCACAGGGCCCTGGTTCCACCGGTACATCCAAACTGCTCTTCTTCAACCAAAATTCAGCATACTACTTAAAAAGTAATGAGTAGGCGAAATACGAATCTCTCCCTGCGAGGATTCTCGACCGGTCCTTGGTGTGTCAGGGACGGAGGGACACGCGCCCACAGATCGTCCAATGCCAGTCGGACAGACGTGAGTGCGAATCCCGGCGTCACGGTGTCCCATCAAGTTGGGCGGAAACGAGGCCGGCCTGGACTGATTGCACCGCCTCAACCACTCCGTCACGTCGATCCGGCGTGTGCGTGTGTTTGCGGGCCTGTGTGTTGGTATGTGTATGTGTGTGTGTGTGTATTCGTGTGGCACATTTGCACAAGGGCACACGCCTCGTCTCCGTGGTGGAGCTTTTTCTTCACGACCGCGGCACAAGTTCGGCATTCGGCGCTTTTTCTAGCACCTTCCGAGTCCCGTCCAGAGTCAGTCGTCGTGTTCTTCGTCGCCTCGTTGCTCGTCTCCATTTTGGCCTCCTCCTCCTCCTCCTCCCAACAGGTTTTCCCGGTTGGGTGCATACACACACACACACACACGCACACACATGCACACACGCACAAGTTCGCCAAAGCGAAATGCTACTGACTTGTGCCGTCTCTGCTTGTCGCGGCCGCATGAATCACACGTTGGTGTGATTTTTTGCCCATTGATCCGCCCATTCGACTGTCGTCCGAGACGGTGTTGCTCGACAAGCCAGAAAGCAAAAGTCCCTTTCGTCCGCGGCCTTGGCGGCGTTCGGCCGAGCCCGCCTCGTC